ATGAGGAATCAGATGCTAAGAATAAGGAACTGATGGGAGAACAAGATGAAGGATGCAGAAAGCAAGGGGATAATTTGCAGGCAATGTATGGAAGTTCCTGAAGTAATCCCTTTGGACTGCATTAAAAAATAGATTTGACTGTCAAGACAGTTTGCAGAAACAAAAGCTTGCATAGATTTTAAGTGGCTTATCTGCATTGTGGCCTCAGTTCTCGCACCAGGATCAGTTTCCATTTGGTACAGGTGGGAGAGACACAAATGGCTGGAGAGACAAGAGCTGCTCCTTTCTGCTTGATTTTGAATCTGTCCTTGATTTCTGCAGCAACTGAGGCTAAGTGGCCCTCACCAGAAGCTGAATAGCTGCCCTGATCTGTCATTTGTGAGCCCCTGGGCAACAGGTGCATGAGAGTGTTCCAGAAGTACTGCTCTGCCCAAAAAATACTTCTGTGAACACCTCAAAAGGACAAAACTTTTAAAGGGGCTGTGGGATGTCTAAGAAGCACAGAACTGCAGTGAAGGACCGTGGCTGTAGTAAAGTTACAAGTGGTTTGTGTTTTATGATTTCTTCTGAGGCCTCTCCTTTTTTTTATTTTTTTTCTCAAGGTGTTTGCTTTGTTTCCACAGGGTGGATAACTTGTCTAAATATTTTAGTGGGTTGAAAGAACAAGAAAAACGATTTAAAGTTCTGGAAGCTCAGGTAAACAGTATTTTCTAGGCATTTATATCAGCTTTAGGATTTCACCATCTTTCTCTCAGTTAATGGTGGTCTGGCAGACCCTACTTAGGGACAGAAAAACAGATCTGTATTATGGTTTCACTTTCCTTATTGCTTTCTGGTATTAAACATATGTAAAGAAAAAAATTCTAAACTCCTGTAGAAAGGAGAAAAGAAAACACAACATTTCTTGCCCTCTTTGGTAGTTTACTTGAGAGTGATTATTTTCTTTGTTAAGGATGCTTCTGGAACAAAATGCTTCATCTTTCCCCCCTTCATTCTTGTCCTTCTCATAGTTTCTTTTTTTTTCAAATGTCAGCTTGGAAAATACATTCTGTCTGATCTAACCTAATCTTCTTGTACATCAGTTTTTCTAATTTTCTAAAGTTACCAAGTACCAACATCTCAAAAGGGAAGTGTCCAGCATACAATTATGAAATCCAAATAATAGCAGGAAATTCTGTCTTGCACTTTTGATGACAAACCCTTGCAATATAAACAAACAACATTTTTTACACAGTCTGAAAATGTCAAACCACCTGCTGTGTAGCACAACTCTTATTGTTTTCTTTATCTCTACAACTCTCCTGATAATTTTGGCCTCACTGGAAGTTCTTTATCTTAATACTCCTGCTACAGTTTCCTGCTCCCTTCTTATCCCTTTTATGGCTTCCTGAAAAAAGCCAGGCTATACAGGTCCAACAGAAACACACAAGGAATGCTTTAGTAAGTTTGTGCCAGCTTGAGGTAACGCAGTATACTCACAAAAAAGGGCAGGTGTTTAATCACTACCTATTTTGTAGATTTGCTACTGTACGGCTGTTATCTCCTCCATGGCAGAGGTTTTAACCAAAACCAACCTCTTGTGCACTCCACCAGCTCCAAACTATACAGGTAAGTACTGAAAACAATCACAGAAAAGCTAATTAATGCAGCTGAACAATAAAATACAAAAAATGCAAGGCAGGAAAAAAATAATTGGAAAATAACCCCATAAGGAGATACCTAGAGGTACGGGGAATATAAAAAAGGAACTGAATGTTCTTACTTCAGAATGAAAAAAAGTTACCCTTGGTAAAATACATTTAAGCTTTGGGACAAGGACTGTGACTTAGGGTGAGTTAGAATAATCTCAGCCTGTTCAAGCACATAAACAAGTATCTATTTACAACAGAGGATTGCCTTGGAGGTCTCTTGAGTCCATGAGACAATCCTCAAGTATTACAGAAGTGTTTACAATGCATAACAATAATCATTATAAATAAAAACCGAGCAAGTCTCTTTTTTTTTTTTTTTAATTAACAGAATTCATTTGCTTTTAGAACTGCACCTATTTCTGTCAGTTAAGAATTTTGTCCTGTGTCCCAGGACTCCACTGTATGGAGTTTAAATCATTAGAGACAGGAGCAAACTATTTCTCACTCACTGCAGAATAGCCAACACAAGAAAGACTTTGGATATCCTTCTTAATTTACCTATTGCTATCTATTACACAAAGTAACTTCCAAAACTCATAAACTCAATATATGTATACTACATGGAAAAAAGAAGTAGCTGGAAAACTCAAAGTCATGACAAGACCTCAAGTCACTCAGATTCGAGCTAACCTCAAGCTTTACTTAATTCTGTCAGAATTTTATAGAACATTTATGTGAGTTGCTTGATGATCAGTATTTCAATAAAAAAACTCTATCTCGTAGAAAGCTTCCCAGACACTTTAATACTGTAACTGTATAAAAATCAGAAATTTAAATAGCTGAAAAATAAGCCTGTGTTTATTATTTACTGAGCAAATGCAAAGTAATACAATCTACAGTCTTTTTTTTCAGCATTTTAAAGTTTCTTAAATAATTACTACTTTGTGCCCCTTGTCCTAAGGCTTTTAAGTGAGCACGTGACTCTTCCAATCCTATTAGGAGCGAAGAGAGCCAACACAGAAGCCCCTTTGCTGCAAAGAAGTGAAAGAGAAGAGCGTGCAGATCAGTTTGAGACTGACATCGAATACATTGATAATTAAATTTTATTCTATTTCTTCACATCAAACCTTTTGTCCTACTGAACTACTGTAGAAATAAAATCCTAATCTCTTTAAGGCCTAAGGGCAAACTCTCTATGCTAAGCACAATGTATGCTTGACATTACTGAGGATTTCTTGGTCTTTCTCCTTCAATTTCTTGGGTTTTCTTTCCTGCTCTCCCATAGCACTTGGTCCTTTCTCCAAAGCCATTCCATAAACAGCACTAAAGCTTTCTTCTCCAGGGTGACTACCACCTTATTTTCTAAATACCATTTGTTCTCCAGATACCACACCCTCAGTCCACCATCATCACTGCCAAATTCCACACTTCTCTGTTTAAGGGAGTCTCCCTTTGGAAGGGCAATCATTTACGCACTTAAAAACATGCTCCTTCCTTGGCCAAGAAATCAAGCTTGGACTCCTGAGCTGCTTAGAAAAGGAAAACACAAAATAGTTTCCAAGGAAAGGGCTTGAATGCTGAGACATTACAGTCTGTGCAGTTCCTGGAGTTCCTACAACTCTCAAACAATTGCACTTACCAGCTTCTCTTCCCAGGCTGGCTCTGGTACTCCTTGCGGGTACCCCTTCTTAAGGGCTCCTCTCTCAGCCTCAGAGACTGGAATCGCCTGGTTTTGTTGTTCCAATGCCCCATCACAGCTGCTGCCAGTTTCCTGCTGGAAAGGAGCCTTTGCCTCCATGTACAACACCACATGGAGTGCCTCCTCTACATCTAAGCATCTGATTTCATTTTACTTTTCTTTCTCAAGGGTAGGGGGAAATAAGAAATCACTTAAGACTTTAAAACAAAAACGTGTACCAAGAATTATCCTGTTCCCTAGGAATTTGGGCTGTTTGTGGCTTTTTCCATTACTTAAACTGGCTTGTACATTTTTAGCATAAAAAAGCTCAGTGGCTTTATTAGAATTTTTCAAGATACACCAATAAAATATCAATACCATCCTCTAAGGGGAAATTTCTTTGGAATAATATAAACAGCATCAAAAGGGGGAAGTATTGGGCTGTGTCTGACTCTGATAAGCTTCAACTTTATTTCCTCACCCATATAATATTGTCTCTATGCAATGTAATTGTAAATTGCACAAAAGCACAAAAGCTTTCTGTTACCAGAGGTGGAAAAAAAAATAAATCTCAGCTCTGACAAAAATGAGCCTTTTATTAACAGATATTAATCTTGTTATGATGGCCTCATGAAACAGGCATTTGTCCAGTTTATTCAGCTGTGCCCCAGGCCTATGACTCCCATTAGTGGCAACGGAATTTTGATAGTCCTACCTGTTCCTCACCCTGGGCAAGCAGAACTCATAAACCCAGCAAGTTTGTACTACTGAGCTGCATTTTTTGTTAAGAAATAAGATATCTCACGACCAGCATTCCCTGCTCTTGGCAGCAGCTTCTACTTTGAAATTACTACTATTTTCATCATGATCAGCATAGCAATTATCCACTGGAATCCAAAAATCTATCCATTTGCACTTGTGTGTGTCCACTCCCATGCACTGGAACAACCAATGTATTTACAACGACCCACTAAGTTATGTGCATCCAGCTGCACAGTCATGAGAAAATACATTCTGCTCTGAAAACTAAAATGTGAGTTTAGAAAAATGGATCATAACTGCTTCTTTTACACTGTTTTCTGCTTCTTCTGCCAAATGATGCATCAGTTCAAACACAAAGAAAAGTGATTTGGGCCTCCCAGTTAATTATTTTTAAGATGGACTCCCCCCCCCTCCCCCGAGGAAGTCACCCCCTCAAACACTCTTTAGAGTCTGAGCAAGCACAATCTACCAAGAAATATCACATACTCTTAAGAATGAATCTTTCACTACACAGTTATAAATACTACCCTTTGGGATTGGTTCATTTAGAATACTGACAAAAAAAATGTCAGTTCAAACTGACCTGAACTAATCTGAGTTTCAAATCATGTAACCTTTCAAAGAATTTAATCTTTCAGCCTTATTTATTAAAATTACTAGCTCTGTGGAAAAACCCCACTATATTTGACATTGCTTACAATGTGATTCATTGTATGAAATGACTCATCCTATGAGGGGATTATACATTGTAAAATCATTGAAAATGTTAAAAATGTGAGGTTTAGAATCTGTAAGACTTGAGGGAGAAGTTAACAAGATGGTGAAGTTAGAGTAACACTTTCAAGAGTTTTCAAGACAGTTTTGAAATCAAATAAAATGTTTGGTAGAACTTCTACAGCTGCATTACTCAGCGTGGTTCAGAGGTGAAATCAAGCTACAACGAAAAGTTTATTGTATCACATAGAACAAAAAAGTCTCCAGTTCTGGTATAAATACTTCCACAAACACCCCAATCCACATACAGAATCAATATGGAAGCAGCACCTCCTGCAAAGCACATACAAATATGCAGATCATTATGTCATGTAACAGGGCATTGCTGTGCTTTCACCCTCAATGGCAATGAGAGAAGGATGTTTTTAAACAAAAAAATTAAAGGGTTTTCCTTCCTGGGATAGGGCAAGGAGAAATCACATCCAGTGGAAGACTACGTTTTATTTTCATTGTTTAAAAATCTCTACATAATGAGCTCATCACCTTTTCTCCAGGATTCCACAGGATTTGGGAACAATATCAAAACTGGGAATTACTAGGAAGCCCTGCAGCCTTTTAGCCAACACTTCTGTTTCTTTGGATACTTCAGCTCCAGAGCAAGACCCAGGGAGCTTTTCAAGCAAACAAAGCACACTTTATTCTGTCCTGCCAGGATGCAACTATCCTGTGCCCATGGACTTCCCATAAACAAAAAGTCTGGAATTTATTTTAGGCAGCTTAATTTCGAACAATACAAAATATTCTTGGTGGCTATGATGCAAGCTGTTGGACAAAAAGTTATCACATGGTTTTCAGGCCAGGAAAAAAAAAAAAAGGAAAAAAAAAAGAACAAGACAAGTCCTTGGATGCCTCCAATGTGCTTCAACCTTCAGGACTCTTCCTCCTCCCCTTCATCTACTTTATGTCTGAAGTTTTTCCTGCTCTTCTTCTTACTGCAGTGGAATCCAACTGGTCCCAGCGATGGCTCTTCACCTGTATCACCAAGCCTTGCATCAAGTTTGTATTCTGTGTTCTGGTCCCCTTCCATCACACACTCTTCCTCCTCTGCTGCTTTTCCACTGTCACTGTCTAAGTGCCCCAATTCAACCTTATCTTCTTCCTTCAAGTCATCAGTCTTCCTAAGAGATTTTCCTTTCAGATCTGTCTTCATCTGTTTCTTATCATCCTCTCCTGTCAATCTTTTCTTTTCCAGTCCATCAACACCTCTTTTAATTGGTTTGGTGAAGACAATCCTCCCAGCTCCACAGCTGGAAGGGTCCTGGTTGAAGAATGGGGCATAATTATCTTGGGAAACCGAGCTCTGTTGCTCCCCTCTTTTCTTCAAACCACCTAGAAATTCCATGGCCACTGCCCTGTTAGTCTTGTCACTGGACTCTGAAACTCCCTCTAGGCTGTATTTGGTCCAGCGCTCTGGGTGTGCCATATAGTCAGGCACTGCAGGAGAGGTTTTGGGAGCCTGCACTGGTCTGGCTTGCCTCCCCATGTTTTCTGGGACCAGGGTACCTGAAATCGTGGTCGGAGGCAATGGACGCTTAAACCTCCCATCAACAACATTATCATCACGCATTGAGGGCACAGACAGCTTGGCTGCCTCTTCCAGGCAATCAAAAATGTTCTGGCTACGGAGGGAGAATGTAGAACTCATGCCCTTCAGATGGAATGGCTGGACAGGAGATCTGTGACCGCTGTTTGAAGAGTCAGTTGTGTCTCCTAATCTGAAATCCCCTTCATCTACAGATGGCTCCTCTGGAGATATTGTATCAACTTCTGCTTCACCTGCCAGCCCCAAGTCATCAGAGTCAGAATCGCTGAGTGACACCGTGTCTGAGGGCAGAGCTCCTTCGTAGTCTCTGGCACCATCAGCCACTATCCCCAGAAAAGGTTCACCTCCTTCCTGGTCTCCCATCTTCGAGCTGTCACTCCACTGCGGTCTTTGATGCAGACCCAGGAACAGCTCTAAATACAGTTTTCCAAATGCCCAGCGAGTTTAGTGCCTAAAATATAAAGGAGCATAAAAACTTAACTGTGAAATGAGAACCAAGGATGAGACCATCACACTGTGTTGTGCAAAGTAATTATAACTTCAATACAATAGTTAGCTGTGCTTTAGGGATTCCCAAGCAATTTTGCTTCAAATGAAAACATTATTTAAGGAATGAATACACATTAAAATTAAAGATTTACACAAGACTGAATATAAGAATATGAAGTAATTGAAAGTAATGCTACCATATTTCATTAGAGGTTGCTGGGATATATCAGGTCTAATTACTAAAAGATGAAAAGCTCTTGAGTTAATCTGAATCCCCCCTTATATATAAAGCTGTCTTATATATCTTCCAAGAGACAGCAATGACCTCTGCATATTACACCATGTGTTTATTCACACTGTAAAAATGCACAGGAACACATTCAATTTCTCACTCTTTGATTTGGCCAGTACAATCATTACTGCATTAGCACTGTACCTGCTGTTCTGATAGCCATCACCTTCTGCCTATTACAAAGGACACTATGACTGATCCCCATCAGTGACAGAAAACCCACAAAAATATCAGCGCCACTGTTTCAAGTCTGCTTTAATGTGGCATAAAGTACAAGCTCCACTGCTTCCTCTGGCTTTAAGCTCTCAAATCATTAATGGATTCCAGGAATTCGAAAACGAGCCAGCTCAAGAAATCAATCCCATTGGATTAAGAAAACTAATCACACATGCCATGCTCACACATGGAAACGAGGAGAGGTGGCAACCACAGGCCTGCAAGAGCTGGCCCTTCAGTCAGTAAATGACAGTGTGATTTGAAGCCTGACTTTCAGAAGCAGCTGGAATACCTGACAGTGCCATGTGCTCAAAGGGAACCTTGCTGGATTCAGGTGGTCGGTGATCAAGCTACCATTTGCTGGGCAACTGGAAAGAGAGCTGGCGTACGCACACTTTTTGGTTCAGCTCTCGTGAATTATGGAAACAGTTCCAACATATTATTAGGATAAGCTTGACTACCTAATTATAGGCTCTTCTGAAACGATGCAGTAAACAGACATGGAAAGTCTGTTAGTCACTCACTTTCTCTTGAGACTGAGTCAGCTTCCCCTCCTGAGGGTCAGTTAAAGCCACCAAAGATCTCAGCACTTCCACCCTAGAAAACAAACATTTCCATCATGATACTGGAAATGTAGTTTTAAAAATAATTCTGTCCCACTCAATCATCCAAAGCTGTAGAACTGAGTTCTAAATCTGACACAAACTCATGGCGGTATAAAGGTCTGCAGATACTGAATTTTTGGCAGAAGAACAGCAGACAGCCTAATAAGGCAGGCACCACTATATTTACCCAGTCTCCACATTCATACTGCCAACTTTATCCTGCAGAACAGAAGAGAGGTTTTAAAAAAATTCAAGCTCTAACTTGCACGTGCAGAAAGCCAGTACTAAATAAACAGTATTAAATGCAGCTAAGAAGATACAATAATAATAGTTATGCACTGCAAACATTAAGTGTTGCTAAGTATTAAGATCACGGGTAACACAGACTTCTGTTTCTAAAGAAAGGTCATGTTCAAAGATTTTCATGAAGCACAAAGCACAGAGAATCTTCTGAGGAGTGCTGTGTTCCATGTCAAGTCTGGCTGCCTTTGACAGAAAGGTTCTTACGGCTGCTTTTGAAAACACTGCCCTCCATGTAATCCCTAGCGGGAAATAATCTTCTTTAAATGATACAGTCTTCTACTTAGTTTTGGAACACATGAAACGTTAACGACTACAATTTAGGAAAGGCTTTGAAGTGCATAATTAAATAAAATAGCTGTTTTCAGACAGCAATAGAAGTGTGTTCATCATGGGCATCTCTTGTCTGAGAGCACTTACACAGAAAAGATCCTAAGGAGATGTTTTAGCCTTAACAAAGTTAGTGGCCAAATATGCTGGCCTTTACAGCACACCAGACTCACTCACAGGTTTGTTATGGTGATGTGATCCCAGCACGACTCGGAAAGAATGACGTCTCTCCGGGTGGGAAGGTTCCCAGTGGGCTCCTCCATCCTGGTGCTGCTCAAACACACTGTGCGTCTTCCTGCTGCCTCCTGTGAGGAGGACGAGACCTCAGTCACCGCAAAACACGGCCACGGGCCTGCTCTCACGGTGCAGAGCACCGCACCAAAGCCCACGCAGTCCCTCGGGATAGGGATCCACAGGCCCCCGCGCCAGGGAACGGGGAAGAGGATCAGGGAAAGAACGTGGGCCGCTGGACACTCGCCCCGCTGAGGGGAAGGCCACGGCGCAGCCCCAGCTGTGCTGCCCGTCGGCTCCGGCCCCAGCGCCCTTCGCGGCCCGGGACGCTGCTGGATGCGCACCGCGCGCACCACACGCGGCCCTCGCTGGCTCTGCACCCCGGGCACCGCCACCCGCCCGGGCACACAGCGAGAACCGCCGGGGAGGGGAGGGGGAGAAAACTGAATGGAGGGCCCCCGTACCCCGACACCGCACAGCCCCACACTTGCCGC